AGATTTTTTTTTTTTGCTAGTACTTAGTGGGAAAAAATATATAACAGTATATTTTTTTTGTGAAACGATGGTAAGCCCTAGATTTCCCGGACTCTTGTCTGTATCTCTTTATTTCTCATATTCTGGCACAAATTCCAAGCTCCTAAACTTTTACATCAAATGGTTCCTTGGGACTAGTTTGTTCCGATCGACTCAATTAGAAGGGATGTCAGAAAAGTAGTCCTGGCTTAGCTACTGCAATTATCCATTATTCAATTTATTGTATTATTTGTATTAAAATATCGTATATGATATCTTTGTAACCATACCATTTAATGATATATTATGAATTATATTGATTTATTCGTGAATATTCATAAGTTGTTGAACTGTTTAAATATATGTTTAAAGATTAATAAACTTATCATTTAAGTTTATAAATTCTTAATTACAGCGCTGGTATCAAAATAACATGCTATTAGTGTTATTGCCAATAGGAATTTTAAGCCTTTTTCTCTTAGCAAATAATAAAAAGTTTTGAGATTTCTTAAATGCTATAGATATTTTATTTTTAAGTGCGATATAATTGAAAATAATTTATACAAATTAATAAAAAACAAAGTGCTTTATACATATACGATTCGTAGTTCGAATATAGATCAAGTAAACACACTAAAAACGTTGTAAATTTTCACTTTGTTCTGAGAAAAGATGAGTAGAAATTTTGCATATTAACATTTTATTTTCTCTGCAAAACTCAATAAAGATTGTTCTGTGGTATTCAGTTAAGGCCTACGTAATATGTGGCTTCATTAGCAATATACAATCCAGTGGTTTTATAACCACTACGAATAATCGTGTTCTGTGTACAAAGTTCAAAGAATAATCACTCTGTGTAACCAAAAGATTATCGTCATAGGTGTGTACTAACTTTTATTATTCGTGGCTAATGTGTTTCAATCAATTTCTGATAACTAATATAATAAAAAAATGCTTACATTTTGTTCAAAATGTTTTGTAGATTTTTTGTACTTTTCCATTTGACTATGTCATATAAGTGTCTCAGTAACTTCGTTATTTGTTTGTTTGCTCATAAGTTGAACTACCTGTACCATAAAGTCCACGCCATATGTTATGTGTGAAAACCTGTTAATGTTGTTCAGATCATATAAAGGATCACAGAAGATCATAAGTTTTCATCCCGTATTGATGATTTGTTCGCTACAGAATATAGAACTTTACTCACGTACTTGTTCTAATACAGGTTAATTTTATTACTTCGAAGACACGTGACCTCTACGTGGCCTAGTGATTAACATGCAGATCAGAAGGTCCAAGGCTCGAGCTCGCGATATTCTGCTGAACACGCTCGCCACCTTCAGCTGTAGTGCGTAACCAGGTTAACATTAGTCCTGTAGGTGGCAGGTGTGCTGCTGACTGGTTGCCTTCCCTCTGGTCAGTGATTCTAAATTAGGAACGACTCTGAGTTTTCTGACCCAGCCGTTTATCCTATGTGTCAGATAAGGTACTACTCAGGTTGAAGCTATCAAATATCTGTATAACGAAACCACATAAAGCCATAGTAACGTGAAGTTCTGCTATATTTTTAGTCTTATTTATTTGAGTAGTTTTAGCAAGATAAAATATATTTTGTGCAAATTGCTTAATATTTTATTGCTGTTAATAAGTTTGAATAAATGGCTGCTTTTATGTGTAATCACGAAACATTTGAAAGAAATACATTAAAAAACACAACCAGGATATATTTTTATGCTATATTTTTAGTCTTATTTATTTGAGTAGTTTTAGCAAGATAAAATATATTTTGTGCAAATTGCTTAATATTTTATTGCTGTTAATAAGTTTGAATAAATGGCTGCTTTTATGTGTAATCACGAAACATTTGAAAGAAATACATTAAAAAACACAACCAGGATATATATATATATATATTGTTACACAGCGGAAGTCACGTGACGCTGGTAACACGTAATGAGTATCTCGAAGGTTCCTGAAGGCTCGAGTGTTTGCCAGATG